ACGCTCTAATTTGACGGAATTAAGCTAAGAAATTTCACATTTATGTCTATAGATGGTTGATTCATTTCATCAATATTTTTTCATAACTTTTCATAAAAATTTATTTTTCGAAAAATTAAGAATCTAAAATGTGACATTTTTTTGAAAATGACTCATATACATTGTATATAGATAGATAGATAGATAGATAGATAGATAGATAGATAGATAGACAGATAGATAGATAGACAGAGAGATAGATAGATAGATAGATAGATAGATAGATAGATAGATAGATAGATAGATAGATCAGGCGCGGTTCGTCCATAGAGCACGGTCGTGCAGTGCCGCCCAAAATATTTTATTACGTTAAAAACTATAATAATAAGATAAAAGACGCTAGAAACAAACACTAGCCAAATATTATAACAAAACACGTTTCTCACTGGCGCTGTAACTGCCATTTCTGTGTCTGTAACGCTGTGAAACATCTACTATGCCATGCCAAAGTTCATGCGCTGTATCTAAACATAGCAGGATATTCAACAGTGTAACCTGACCTATAAATCACGCTTTGGGATAACCCAAGCGATGACGACACTCGTAGAGAGTTTGGCGGTACATTAATGTTAATAAGACGGCACATCTCAAATGCGCTCCTGCCGAATAGTGCCGAAACATAGCCCACAGTAGGCAATCTAAAAATAAACTCGATAGACTGCACTATTCTATGCCAAGATTATGTGAGCCCAGGAGCAATCCAGCGGAGTGTTCAAGTGAATTGTGATTGGTTCATTGTCTTGCCGCTATTTTAAGTGACTCTGTGACCGTGAACCTGAGGGAGGTGAACGTGACATACTAACATACTTAAGTCATTGTCCTATGAGTTGTGTGTTTGAACGGTTTTGTAGTAGAGTGGTGAAAGGTATTACTTAAGTGTTCAGTTCTAATACAGGATGAATGAAAATGACGTTTAGCTAACAAACAGATTTAGTTCTAGACGTCAAAGCCACAAGTAAAAAGAATGAAAATAGAATCACAAGGTTCTCCCTCACCAACCCAAAGATCCTAAAATTATACATCATCTCATTTACTATGCCCTTGACTATCTTCAACCTAAGATAGCTTAATTGTGCACGCCCACTTTTTAGACCCACGAGCCGTCCCTGATACGGATAGATCCTATATATTTTTAACAACAACAAAATTGGGGGGAGGGGAGGTTAGAAACATTGTCAGTCTGTAAATCAACGACAAATCAACATAAATAATATTATATCGGTTGTGTGTGTGTGTGGAATAGCAGCTGTTCGGCGCTTCTGTGTCGCACGCAAGAGACGTGAGTTCAGTTGCTTCTTTTTTGTTTGTTTGTTTTTTGGGGGGTTTTTTTAGTCTTAAAAAGAAATACCCCAGAACGATAGGGTCGCCAGCACGAAGTAGTATCGAAGGCTTTTGGTTAAACGCCCCTTACAAACCCCTCCTCCACCTCTGCACTCCCCCCCCCCCCCCTCACACACCCACCACGCACCCTCAAAACAAAATGAGGAGAAACAACTTGGATGAAACAGAGTACGCGTTTCTCATTCTCACACGGAAGACAAATCGTTTCTCAGTATACTGTATTATCATGCGGTTTTTGGTTTGTTTGTTGTTGTTTATTGGGGGGGGGGGGGGGGGGCGTTATTGTCAGATTAGCTAATACATGTTTCCAGTGTTACTATTATTTTTATTATTTATTTTTTTTGGTAAGTGTTTTACGGCGCTCGCAACTGAATAACTGAATATGAGCGCGCGGGAAACACCTAACCAGCTGGTAGGAAATTTTGAATTTTGCCCGTGCGGATGGCGGCCGAAGCCTACTCTTATCGATTCTAGACCGCCAAGGGTTCTTTAATGTGCGCAACTTGCACCCTAGACCTCTGAGATTTTTGCTTGTTTGTTTGTTTTTGTTTTGTTTTGTTTGTTTGTTTGTTGGGGGGGGGGGAGGTAACAGGCGTTATTGTCAGATTAGCTAATACATATTTCCAGTGTTACTGTTAAAGAATTCCCTGGCAAAATGTTGTCGTTTTTTATCGTACAAGTTCCTGGCGAACCAGCTCAATATCAACAACTGAGAAACAGTCGCAAAAATCAGGAGGGTTGGTGAGTGCTCTGTTGTGGTTTGCTCGCACTTATCTATTATCTATTTGTGATGGCCGAATTTTGCTTTTCAAAAGGCTTTTTAATGGCTGTATCGATCGAAATGCAGTTTTCGCAAAAAAAATCTTTAAAATATTCTCCAGATCATGACGCCCTTCGTTTTTTCAGTTTTGAGACAGTTTTGCTGCAGCAACCTAAATTTGTTTATTTCGCCGATCGCTTTTTGTGGGCCGACGCTTCTGTCTCTGTAATTTTAGAAAATCCGGAAGTGATATTTCGTGAGGCGCATTTTGTTTTGAGAGTATAGATCTAGACCTTCTCATTTTTGCATCTCTCAAGATTTATTTCCCCATTCCAGTAGAGTGTAGATATAGTAGGCCAATGACTTTTAGTTGATATTAAAGCACCGATCGTTCCTTTAATCGAAAGGGGGCCCAGCTAGTATGATCTATTTGTGTTTCCAAGTGCCGCAAAACTCTTATTAAAACTAAAAGTAAAATTAAAATCATCAGACGGATTCGGTAATTACGCAGAGAGGAGGAAAGTGAAAGTTAGGCTGCTCGAGATAGAATCTGTGACAGTGCGCGCCCCAAATGTTTGTCGTTGTAGGCTTACTGGTGTAGTGTACGCATCTGTTGTCGTTCAGATCTGTATACATGTATATCAGATCAGACCTTGCTGCATGAATGGGTTTAAGTGCCATAGACATTAACATTAACTTCTCTAAATGGCAATTTTGCCTTCTCGTGTTACGTATGCCAGTGGTAAGTGGGCGGGGGATTATGCAACTGCAAGGGTAATTGTTGATGTCGCCGTCATCAACACAATTTAGATCATTTAGGAGGCGGGCAGCTTCGACCCCGCCTGTCAAGACTAACGCGGGTTAAGCAAAAGTAGTCACTTGCCGCACCTGTTTCTGCGTATGGATTCTACTGGGCATTTTAGGTCTGACAATAAATGTTACCTCCAAACCCCGGGCCGGGCACGTTCTACACTGCTGATGCCAGTGTGGAATGAAATGAATAGCCCAATGCATAAAAGACATCATTTGACTGAACGATGTCCCGGCAGGCAGAAGAAGATAATCGATAAAAACCCTCCCCGCTCGGGAATCGAACTCAGGTCTTCTGTGTGCGACAGCAAGAGAAAAGCAGGTCCCGAACCCAACTCGAAACTCAAAGTTTCATACTTGTACAATGTGTTTTGTATAGAGTAGAGTGGGTTAGACCCCAAGTTTCCCGTCTAGATATTCTGGCTGGAGAGCCAGTGAAAGTGAAAGACAAAGACGACGCTGGGGCGAATCTGTGTCAGACACCCTCAGAGCTCACGGGATGTCCCTCCTGCAGGCCAGTCGCCCGTGTCTCCTTGCGACACCCACCGGTACAAGCGGAATAAAAAAGGAAAGTAAGTAAAGAAAGCAACAACAAATACTATTTGCCTTTTAAAAGTCCTTTTTAAGCCCTTCCTCTTCTGTCCCTGGTGTCACCCTTTGTTATTCTCTCTGAACAGCCCACATATTATTTTTAAAAGACAATAATATATAACAAACGAAATTAAATTAACAAACTGTGCCTATTAGCTGAACATCGCACCTGATAAGTTCGTGTACTGTAGATCTACGGTGACCAACAGATGATTGAACCACTGCCCCAGTTGCTGGATCAATCAATGCAGCTGTGGAGGCCGAACTGCGCAGCGGGGAATGCCATATGTCACATGTCACAAGTCACGTGTCACAAACTGTAGTAGTACTAGTAGATAATCACTCAGCCCGTGGGTTTGGCAGAGCACCTTACGTTAATTGTTAAAAGCAAGTAAGCTTACAGGTACTAATACTTTTTTATCTAATCAGTACATCGCATCTTGCACCCGCTGAGTGGGTGTGTGGGGGAGGGAGAGAGTTCTGTCAGGTTAGAGAGAGAACAGAGAGAGAGCTGTGAGAGAGTAGAACGTGTGTGTAAGAATAGAGGGGGGAGAGAGAGGGAGCTGAGAGAGAGAGGGAGGTGAGAGAGAGAGGGGG